ACAAACGATGCCCCCCATTGGCAGTGCAGTGGCATTGAATTGGGATCGCTTCGGCGTTGGTTTGGCATTGCGTTGGTATTGCGTTGGCATTGCGCTGGCGAGTTCCAATGGCTCCCCCCACAGAAGGATTCCGATGAAAACCTTGCATCAGAAGGGATCTGTTTTAAAAGCCCCCACATGAAGGATTCAAAGCGAACCCCCCCACAGAAAGATTCCAACCGAAACCCGCCACGGGAGGATTCCTATCGAAATCCTCCGAAGAGGATGTGTAACCAAATCATCCACAGAAAGGTGCCTAGTGAAATCTGTTGGAAGACAGACATCCCGCCATCGGCATTGTATCGGTATTGGTTTGGCAACGGTTTGGCATCGCATTGGCATTGCGTTGACATTGCGATGGCAGTGCATTAGCAGTGCGTTGGCATTGCGTTGGCATTGCGCTGGCGAGTCCTACCCAAACAATTCACAGAAGGATTCCCATCAAACACTCCCACCAAGAACAAGGATGCCGATTGAATCCCCCCAAAAGAAGGATCCAAATTGAAATCCCCCACAGAAGGGTTCCATGCGAAGCCCTCCATAGAAGGCTTCATATTGAAATCCTCCGAATAAGGGTTCGTAGAAGGATTGCTATTAAAATATACCACAAACAATTCCCCCCATTGGCATTGCATTGGCATTGGTTTGGCATTGCGTTGGCACTGCTTCGGCATTGCGCTGGCCAGTTCTAATGACTCCCACCTCAAAAGGATTCCTTACCTTCCACAAGAAGGGATCCGTTTGAAAACCCCCCACATAAAAGATTCATACTGAATCCCCCCACGGAAGGATTCCAATCGAAACCCTCCACAGGTAGGATTCTTTTTGGGACCTACCACAAAGGATGCCCCCATGGGCATTGCATTGGCATTGAATTGGGATCGCCTTGGCATTGGTTTGGCACTGCGATGGAGAATCTGTGGCATTGCGTTGGCATTGTGCTGGCGAGTCCTGATGGCTACCTCCGCAGACGGACTCCTACTGAAACCCTCCACAAGAACGAAGCCGATTGAATCCCCCCACATGACATCCATATCGAAACCCTACACATAAGCATTGCTATTGAAATCATCCGAAGAAGGACCCCCATTGACATTGCATTAGCATTGGTGTTGGCTGGGGATGGATGTGTGTCGCATCGGCATGCATTGGCCTGGTGCAGGAGATAGACAGAGAGAGAGAGGGATAAAGAAAGAGAGAGAGAGAGAGAGAGAAAAATCCGCCGGCCCCCTTGTGGGGCCACCAGGCTGCGAGGCACGTGATTCGCAGTTTCCTGTACCAGTCGTAGGTTGTAGTTTCCAGTGTTACAGTTATGCTTCTTGCTGGTTGCTGTAACTAGTTGACTTCTTGCTGGTTACTATAACTAGTTGATTGACCGCGCGAGGGGGGGGGAGGCCCAAACAAGACTTTTAGCCTCACCTGGGCGCGTTGTCTGAATTGCTGGGGGGGCTCGAAATCCACACCCCTCACGCAGATCCGCGGGGTCAGGGTCCAAAAACACATGGGATTTGCCACATTTCTGAAATTCGGTGCCACCCCTCACGCAGATCCGCGGGGTCAGGGTCCAAAAACACAGGGGATTTGCCACATTTCTGAAATTCGGTGCCACCCCTCACGCAGATCCGCGGGGTCAGGGTCCAAAAACACATGGGATTTGCCACATTTCTGAAATTCGGTGCCACCCCTCACGCAGATCCGCGGGGTCAGGGTCCAAAAACACATGGGATTTGCCACATTTCTGAAATTCGGTGCCACCCCTCACGCAGATCCGCGGGGTCAGGGTCCAAAAACACAGGGGATTTGCCACATTTCTGAAATTCGGTGCCACCCCTCACGCAGATCCGCGGGGTCAGGGTCCAAAAACACATGGGATTTGCCACATTTCTGAAATTCGGTGCCACCCCTCACGCAGATCCGCGGGGTCAGGGTCCAAAAACACATTTGGGGATTTGCCACCATTTCTGAAATTCGGTGCCACCCCTCACGCACATCCATCGCAAGGCGTGGTAACCCAAACTGCGAGTACTCCCTCGGCCCTTTAATCCCAAGGTGTGGTAACCAAGCTCGTAAACCATACACGTCTTACCAATCGCCCTGTGTGGTAACCCCTCTTGTGATCAGTTGGTTTTGCCGATTGCGAATCGGCCTCGCATGAAGTTCCGATACTGCGGCACGACAGCGCCAAAGCCTCATGACTTAGCTCTTCCATGGCCCATTCTCCGAGAGAGGGGGCCGGCGGCAGGGGGCAAAGCCCTTACGGATAAATAAAAAAACGATATACCGAGAAAAGATTAGTATGAGAGTATGAGGGAGTCACGGCGAAAATATACATTGCAAACACAATCAAATATTAAAGGTGAAAGAGCGCTTCACTCGATAAAAGCCGTATGAAAACGACGAGGGTTCCACAATCTCCCAGCCTCTCCTCCTCCTCCTCCTCCTCCTCCTCCTCCTCCTCCTCCTCCTCCTCCTCCTCCTCCTCCTCCTCCTCTCTCCTCCTCCTCCTCCTCCCTCCTCCTCCTCCTCCTCCTCCTCCTCCTCCTCCTCCTCCTCCTCTGCCTCCTCTCCTTCTCCTCCTCCTCCTCCTCGTCCTCTCCTCCTCGTCCTCGTCCTCGTCCTCGTCCTCTGCTCCTCTTCCTCCTCCTCTCCTCCTCCTCCTCCTCCTCCTCCTCCTCCTCCAACTCCGCCTTCTCCTCCTCCTCCTCCTCCTCCTCATCCTGCCCCCCCATATGCTTCCTCCCCTCGCCCGCCCTCTCCCCCCCTGGCCCGCGGTGGAACACACGGCTTGCCAGCGGGTTTCTGCGCAGGCCGAGCCCGCCTAGCCCGCCCGACCAGAGCCTGTCCCGCCAAGGGCAGGGCCCTGGTGGGGGGAACGCAGTGCCGCCGCGCTTGCACGGCCTGCAGGTAACCAAGGAGGCACCAGAGGAGGTACCCGAGGAGGTACCTAAGGGAGTACCCAGTGAGGTACCATAGGAGGTACCCGAGGAGGTACCCGAGGAGGTACCCAAGGAGGCACCCAAAAGGGTACCCAAGGATGCACATGAAGAAATACCCAATGATGTACCCAAGGAGGTGCCCAATGATGTACTTCCCGAAGTACGGCCGAAACCGATCACAATGATCACCAGGACCGCTTCCCTCACGACCGCTGGCAAGCAAAAGGTGACTATGGGCACTTCCCCCTAACTCCAGCCACTGGTGGATAGTGGTCTGCCATGCCTCCGACTTTGAGGATGGGTCCTGCTCTTGGCCAAATACTGGATTCGGGTTTCCTGCAAGTTCGCAGGAATCAATAGTTATCCGACGACCGCTTAAACGTCAAAGATGGGTTTAGGTACCCTGAGAGCTTATAACGAATTTGGTAATCCTCCTCCTCCTCCTCTTCCAACTCCTCTTCCAACTCCTCCTCATCTTCCTCCTTCCACTCGGCGTCATCCGTGCAAGCTCGCAATTCCCCCTCCTCCATGGGCTTTTGGGGCCACGATCATCGTGAGGGGTGCGCCGAAATGGGGCGGGGCCGCTATGCGAACCCTGCCACTGGCGCCCTCGGTGGAGCTCCCCACGGGGCCACGATCCTCGTGAGGGGTGCGCCAAAATGGAGCGGGGCCGCCATGCGAACCCTGCCACTGGGGCCTTCGGTGGAGCTCCCCATGGGGCCACGATCCTCGTGAGGGGTGCGCCGAATGGGGCGGGGCTGAGGGCTGCGCCGAAATGGGGCGGGGCCGTCATGCGAACCCTGCCACTGGCGCCCTCGGTGAAGCTCCCCACAGGGCCACGATCCTCGTGAGGGGTGCGCCGAAATGGGGCGGGGCCGCCATGCGAACCCTGCCACTGGGGCCTTCGGTGGAGCTCCCTACGTGGCCACGATCCTCGTGAGGGGTGTGCCGAAATGGGGCGGGGCCGCCATGCGAACCCTGCCACTGAGGCCTTCGGTGGAGCTTCCTATGAGGCCACGAAGTGTGTGAGGGGTGTGCCGAAATGGGTGATGATGATTGCGATGATGATGATCGTGGTGATGATGACGTCGATGATGTCGATGATGATGTCGATGATGATGATGATGATGATGATGATGATGATGATGATGATGATGATGATGATGATGATGATGATGATGATGATGATGATGATGATGATGATGATGATGATGGTGATGATGATGGTGATGATGATGATGATGATGATGATGATGGTGATGGTGATGGTGATGGTGATGGTGATGGTGATGGTGATGGTGATGATGATGATGCTGATGATGATGATGATGATGATGTTGATGATGATAATGACGTCGATGACGTCGATGATGGTGATGATGGTGAGGATGATGATGATGCTGGTGATGATGGTGATGGGAGGAGGGAGGAGGGGGAGGAGGAGGAGAACGCGGGGCACCGTCTCATCAAAACGAGGACCCAACACCACAGGATAGATGGGACATAAAATGCAAATAGCAGTAGCGGTAGTAATAACACTACTGAAGACATCGTGGAAGTAGTGGTAACAAGAATACGGATAGTAATACCAGTATTACTGGTGATACGCATATCACGAATAACAACAGCATGCTCAGTCATAGAAAGTATAACAGTCATAGTCAGCGTCATGATAAGAAAAGCAGAACGACATTAAAACATACTAATAAGTTGGGAACAGCTATAGTAACAAACAAAGAACCGTACTAGTAGTAATAATAACGACAGTAGCAGTGACAGTAATCGTACTGGTAACGATGAGAGTACCAGTAATACTGGTAGGACCCATGAAAATAATAGTGCGAACGGTAAAGATAGGAATAGTGATAGCGATAAGAACCGTCATCGTAATCGCACCAGCACGGGTACTAGTACGAGTAGTAGACGTGACATCAGAAGCAGCAGGAGTAGCCGTGGTCGTAGCGAGTGGTTGCAGTGACGCGGGGGCGGCACGCAGTGGCAGCAGCGTGTGAGCGGAGCGGCCGAGGTCCCCGTGCTCGGTGGTCAGGACGCCGAGGTGCACCGCCGAAGTAATCAGCACGAAGGTGTTGATGGCACCTCTCAGCAGCACTGCCCTCCGATCCCCTCTCCTCCTCCTCCTCCTCCTCCTCCTTCTCCTCCTCCTCTGGGATCGCGATTCAAAACTCTCCTGACTCTCCTCCTCCCTCCCGCCTCCCCTTCCCTCCATCCCTCTCTCCTTGCCCCCCTGTCTGCCGTGCGGAATAATATGTACCGCCTCGCGCCAGGGCTAAACATTCGCCTGCCACCCCCCCATTGTTCCGCTACTTTTCCCCTGCCCCCGTACACCTTCTGAAAAAACGCGGAACGAGCGGAGCCAAACTCGGGCACGTCCAAACCGAACCCATGCATCGCGGTATACAAAAAAGCCATAACCGAAATGGCAAAATCGGAGGAGCAACAGCAGCAGAAATGAGAAGATCTCTTCGAAGAAAGATTCCGGCCAAAAGAAAACATAAGTTTCCGCAGGCCCGCGCGTACTTCTTGGACCGGCGCTGCACCCCCCCGCATGGGTCGGCGACGATGCGCGATGACGGCGCTGGTGACACCACTCGGGCACCACCAAGGCAGCATTGGGAAAGCATCGGAACACCATCGGGACACCGTCGAAACACCATCGGACGGAGCATCCGAAGACGCTGCTGAGGCACATAAATGGCATCATCGCGACCTACTACCTGGCTACCAGTCTCACAATCCTTGGGTCTCACTAGCCACAGCGCAATCGATCCCGCGATCTGCGTGGCGATCTCACCATCGATCTTGCAACGGATCCAACCATCGATCAACGTCATTACCAATCGGTGGTTGCGTCACCAGCGCTTTCGCGGGCAAATAAATGTCACCTCCACGGCCACGACTAGAGGCGGGCTGTATCTGCCCTCGATCACTCTGGCGCGCCGGATAAATGAATGCATTTTCGCGCAGCGGCGGGCGAGCTCGAGCCAGACTGCCACGCGGTAATGACTCTCTGGCGTTGTTTGCGAAACCCCGTGTAGACCCCCGCGGTGACAGCAGAGCCTGGCGCCGAGGAGCTGGGCGGAAGGCGCGCGCCACCGCTGTTCGCCACCAGGGAAAAAACGCGAAGGGTGATGTTGCCCGGAAGCTCCTGCAGAGTGCTCGAGCCAGGGTGTAGCACTGCCCCTCGGGCATGACCACAACGTTCCAACCTGTTCCTCCTCCTCCTCCTCCTCCTCCTCCTCCAACCTCGCTGCGACCAGGGTGGTGGTGATGGCCCTGCTGTTCTACATCGGCGATGGAAGGACAACGGCACTGCATCGGCCCACGAGCCACCACAAGCACCATGAAACATCGACTTATCGACCTGAATATCGCATTCTCAATCGACCAGTCCCACGATCGATCTACCGGCACGAGACACAGCGAGACACCGCGGAACAACAGACGAGGCCACAAGGCACACCGAGACACCACGGGAAACCACGGAAAGAAAACCAAAACAATGAAACAGCTCGATTCCACTATGAATCTCCCTCGATCGATCAATATCACTATCTATCGCCCTCACCGTCGATCTTACTTTCGATCTCATCATCAATCTCACGATCGATACCACTGCCGATCTCACGATCGACCTCATTCAGCCGATCTCACAATCGACCTCACTGCCGACCTCCAAGGGCCACCACAGGACGCCGCAGGTCACCGCGCCGCGAGGCGCCGCGGGGCGCCGCGGGAAGCCACGGGGCACCGGCAGGACACCCGCGGGCCACCGCTGGCCAAACTGGGGGAGGAAAGACACCGAGCCCGGTTTCCCGGCTGGGCCCTGGCCGGGGCGGGGTCGCTTCCCTCGCCCGCCCACGCAGCTTCGCCTCGCCCGCGCGCGCGGCGCGAGACCGAAGCCGACTTCCTGGCGGGGGAGGAGGAGGAGGAGGAGGAGGAGGAGGAGGAGGAGGAGGAGGAGGAGGAGGAGGATTTTGACATCAACAATGCAGCCACATACGCCTTGCCTGGTGGCGAGCCAGACAAGGGGACGCTCCTTGGCGGAAAAACTCCACAGTCTCACCAGCGTTGTCCTGGCCTGAAGAGTCTTTCTGAAACGGGAAAACAAGAGGGGGGGCCGAAAGCCGAAGGGCGATCTCCTGCAGACAGGAGGATCCCCTTCGGCTAACGGCCCCCCCCCCCACTAATTAGTCCGAGTCCGAGGAAACCATTCTGGGTTCCTGCGGAGCTGCGGAAGCGGCCGCCTCTTGGAGGCGGAGAGCAGAAACGACGCCGCGGAACACAGAACTTCCTGGCGGGTCGGGCGGCACGTTGCAAGCCTCCTTTCTCGCCTGTGGGTCCAGGCCAGGGGCGAAGGAAGGCAGACACGGCGAATCTACAATCGTGAGCCCTTGCGTGCATACCCGCGGGTATCTGCCCGCCACAATTCTATTGAAATTTGTGCGACCGTGCCTGCTGAACAGTCCTGGGCAACGGGTCGCTAAGTTGCTTTTGACCAGCACTCCGTGGTGCAGAAACGCTCCGCACCGCACACAAATGAAACAGTCAGAGCCATCTGAAACATGAAATAATGTCGGCACATGTGCGTTGCTCTCGGCCGCATCCAGATCAGGTTGCGCCGAGCCTAAACATTTTCCAGGGCCAGGTTTCGCCGCGGACCTGGACCCTTTGCGACAGACCGTGCAACACCACATGCCACTACAATGTTGCCACTCATGCCCCTGGACAGGCTGCCCCAGGGGTTTCTCAGGATGCTCTGCCCGAAGCTCGACTCCGTCTAGATTCAGCTTCGGCCACTGCGGCAGAAGCTTCGCGGCAAGGCGGCACACGGCGCGGGCAACGGCAATGCTACTCTGAACTCGTTCTTCCTCGGCCTCTGTGGGCCGAGGATGCGCCTGCGCGCCCATTTTCGCGACGGCATCAGCGTGACCGTTTCCCCGACGTCGGAACCGCTCACTCTCGTCAAGCTCTGGCTCGTCGGGGTCTAAATGAGCCCTAACCTTGGTTAAGGCAGAGATGTGGCGGCATTGATTGATATACAAGAAGTGGCCCGCGCACTTGCGCTTGTGCGACAGTCGCGCAGACGCGGGCCGGTTAAAGTGCGAGACTACCGCCCGGCAGTCTGAATAACATTCACTCGTAGTCTCCAGCTGCAGGGAAGCCTGCGCTAGAGCTGTAAACTCGGCCGCAGGGGCCGTCTGAGCGATCGGTGCCCACACAGGCCCGTGCAGCGTGCATTCGGGTTGACCGTCAGCCGAGACCTGGACCACCCCCCATCCAGCCCTCGAAAGTTCTGGTATCGGATGCCCGAACAAACTCCCATCTACGAAAATTCGGCCCCCGATCACTCCGTCGTCGAAATCACGATCCTCCCGATACGATTTGATTTCCACACCGCCGAACTCCCTAGGCCGAGGCCAATACCCTTCTGGATGCTCGAAGATGCCACGTGTGAACAAAATTTCCTCATCCTTCGTGAGCTCACAACACGCCATCTTGATGATATTCTCCTTCACCAACGCCTCCCTATCGTCCCTCACCGCCTCACAAGTCCAAAGCCCATGATGCGGGGTGTCAACAGCCTGTTGACAGAGAGGGCAGAGCAGCTGTTCGTCATCTAACTCGTATCCAAGGGCATGAGCCCGTGAAGCCGTCCAGCAGCCTCCACAGGCCAGATTACGAATAGCTCCTTTTTCCATGGGCGTGTAGCGTTTTTTGCGGGCTTCTGATTTTGCAATATCAAAACACGCACGGTCCCAGGGCATCTCCAGCTTGACAGCAATGGACCTCTCCAGGCCCCGAACAACAGCCCTTCGCAAGAGATCCTCGAGCAACGTCGGGCTGACATACGTGAGCGAAACAGCAGTGCCACGATGATCAAGCAGCGTGGCAAAGTCCCGCATTCGCCACCCTATCCTCTTTACTGACATGTACAACGCACTGATGGGTCCGTGAACGTGTCTCCAAGTGGTGGGAAGGGTGGCGGACTCAAAAACAGAAGACCAAAGTCGGCGCAGCTCTGGCATGCTGAAACAGAATGAGAAAGCCCTTGTCTGCGCTGCCCAAACTTCCTTGCTCCATCTAACTATCGGCGCAACCATCCCACACCAGCAAGGCTCATCCTCAAACACTAGCGCTGCAGACAATGATCGGCCACCACATGACGGCAAACACTTACCAGCCTGCTGCCTGATCCGACCTAACTCAGTGTTACTTAGACCGTGAACTTCAGCTCCGTAGCACATCCCTGGCAGCGGCCCACTACAGAAAATCTTCCGCGCTGATCTGCCAAGGATATGTCTCTGTCTCTTGATGCGCTCCACCTTCCTCCGAAATCCTCTCTCCCTCTGCTTTCGCTTGGCCGCTCTCCCCCGCACCCTGCTACCTTTCCCTGCCGTGTCATCAATCCCCAAGTTGACTGCAGTAGAGTGGTTGGAGCTGGGCCCCGACAAGGCCCCGAGCCAATCGGCCAGCAGCTTACCGAGCGTGGCGTCGCTGGCAACAAGGTTGGCCTTGTCGGGGGAGATAACAGACTTCAAATCCTCCGTGACCGCCACATAAACAGCTGCCGTAGCCGACTTCAAATCAGCCAAGACCTGCTTGAAAGTGCCGGTGCTAGAAATACCTATGTCATCTATGAAGAGGTCGATGCTAATGGTGGGCCCCACAGAGACCTGCATGAACGTATCCATGTAATAAATGCGCACATATGTTGTAGCTAGACTGCAGCCAGCAATAACACCCCTGAAAGCCAGGAAGGGCCCAGCCAGGAAACCAGCGATGTTAATGAAACGAGCCGATTTGCATGCAGCAAGCGAAACCTTGATGACCGTGCGCGAGAAGCCCCATTTAAGACACCGAGCCTCGAGATCCCCAAGATCCATCAACTCATAAAACTTATACATGTCCCATAAGACTGACGCCGCATATCCCCCTGTTCGTGCGGACCCTTCGGCACGAGCAGCTTGGCGCCAGACAACATCAGTGGCACTCTTAAACCCACTACCTGAGAAAAAACTTGCCGTGTGAGCCTCCTCCCATTCCACAGCTACCTCCCTCCTGATCTTCCCCCACAT